TCTCTCTCTCTCTCTCTTTCTCTCTCTCTCTCTCCCTATTTCCTTTCCACACACACACATACACACACACTCAAATACTCACTGACCCAACATCAGTAGTTACACAATTAATAACAAGAGGTGTGAATGCCAGCTGTGTAATAAACGTCTAATATTATGACTGTAATGTCAAACCTCAACACTCTCGCAGTACAGTGGAGAACTGTACACCACTAAATGGCCATAGTTTATGACGGTGTTTGTTTCACTAATTGTGCCAAGCTGTGGGATCAAGGTCGTGTGTTTGACCAGGCCATTTGGAGTGTCATATGATATCATTAATTGTTTGTGACTGATGGCTGGTTGGTCTGTGATCAGTGGCTTTGTCAAAGCCTCTTTCTTTATCCTCTAGTGGGTGGTTGGAGAGTGCCACTGGTTGGTCCTTCTTCTTCTTTACTTTCCCTCTGTTGTTTCTGTCTGTTCGTCTTATTTTTTCCCAGTACTAAATGACCATTATTGTGTTGTTGTGCTTCTCTTTACTCAAACAAACAAACAAATAATTCCTTGATCTCTCACTGCGGGAGCTTAGGGGTTGGGACTGGTAGGTCCCTCATCTTTTCTTTCTTTTTCTCTCCCTCTGTTTCTGTATATCTATCTTGCTTTTTTCCCCCCCGCATTAAATGATCCTCCTAAGTAGAGCAGATCAGATCACAGTCTTTAGACTCTGCTGCAACCACAATAGACTGAAGCAACTCATACAATAGAAATTTAAAGTCAGAGACACACCCTTATGTAAGTGAGGCCAGGGTCTATAGAACAGCCACCTTATCTTGCAGCATTGTACTCTCTTCACAACCCCAAGAGTACTGGCATGGCAATATTCTACACCACTGGAGAGAAAACGGTTTAGCAGCTTTGAGGATCTAAAGATAAATGCTCAGTTTGTGTACTCTACCAGATTTTTTGTCTGACGGTCATTGAGAATGGGGAAGATGAAGAAGAAAAAGAAACTAAATAAAAGTTAATGACTGTTATCGTATATATGTGCTTCTCTTTACTATGCCATTGAAACCCTACCCCCCCCCGCCATTCTGGGGTTTGAAGTGGGGTTTTTGGGGTGGGATTTTTTTTTGCCGGCAGACGTATTCAAGGTCATGGATTGTTGATGATTTGTTGTTAGTGTTAGTGTTTTGTGCTCCAATAAAAATAATTTCCCCATTTGACAATGGAACTTATGTCTAGATGAATGTGCAATGGTTAGAGGCCCAACTAAGACAAGATATATACATGGACTGAAATTCGATGCCTTGCTCAAGTGATGCTCTCTACGAAGCTGTTTCCATATAATGCATATTTTGAAACATTACATGAACTGTTGCTCTATAAAGCTTGGTTACTTTAGCTGCATTTTTAAACATTACATGAACTGGTGCCTGGGTTTCTCTGGATGTATTTTTGAACATGCTACATGATCCGTTGCTCCACAAAGCTCAGTTTTTCTTGATACATGTGAAGACGCAGTATTTGATCCAACTAAACAATCTAAGCCATGTCTAGAAGGGAGTAAAATATTTACAATTTACTTGATCCATTAATTCCAGGCTGCCAATCAGGAAGGAGGTGTTGTTGAAGCAAACAGTGTGCTGGGCACCCTAGGTGAGGACGAGCTGCCCACTTCTATCAGTGCCACTGAGGTAAGGGGATAAACTTATGTGCAGTGCAGCCAGATTAAAATTAATATGAAATCACTGCTTAAACCGAACTTGATTGATTTGGATACAGCGACAAACCACACCAAAAAAAATGTATTATATTTTTCTTTGCTATTTAAACAATCTCTCTATACCCAAAACACAGCTAAACCAAAGAAAATCTGCTGGTCACACTGATTTGGATTTAAGCCTGCACCACTGTATTAATGACCAGGGTTTGTTATTTTTTAATTTTTCTGAACTTGGGATACCATGCAGGTTTATGGTGCCTCTGGTTGGTCTTACTTCTTTTTTTTTCCCTCTGTTGTTTCTGTCGATTTGATGGATGGGTGGAGGAGTCCACTAGAAGGTCTTTTCTACATATTTTTCTTTGTCGGTTTTCTGTCTATGTTGCTTTTTTACACCAGTGGGACTTAAAGGTGTGGAGATTCTTTTATGGTTTTGTAAGTCTGTTGAAAGTATTTTTTGAGATGATGCTGTTCACATGATATACGCTTTTTGCAGAATGCTGTTGACTTAATATTGTGAATGTCTGTGTTCTTCCCTCCGTCCCGGACATCCCACCCCTCCAACATATCCATCTACCCCACAGAACAAGAGTAACTCCCAGACCAGCACCAGCGGTAGTCGCTTCCAGTTGCTACGCGACCAGACGGAACGTATGAAGGAGAATGTTGTCAGACATCTCCGTAAGGCCAAGGTACAGTCGGCCGGCCTCAGCGACAAGGCCATTGTGGCCGCCAAGGACACAGGGGGCCGACTGTTCTTTGAAATGGACCCCATACTACGCAAGGATAAACTGGAGGAGTTGGTGAGTGGTTGGTAATGTTGTTGTTGGGCCCTCAGTTGTTTCTGTCTGTTTTGTGTTTCTCTTCCCCCCCAACATCTTTTCTTTTCCTCAGTTATTTTTGTCTCCGTCCATCTTGCTTTTTTTTCCTTTGGCCATTAGCGTGTTAATTTGCTTCGTTTTACTCAAAAATCTCTCCTCCTTTGAAGATGAGATTTTCCTCCTTGTGTGTTGACATCTCCCTCTAGCATGTTTTAATAATCATGTGCGTTTATCTTTCATGTCTGTCACTTGTTACCATGGCCAGGCCTGTTGGCTGGTGCCTCGTTCCTTGCCACAGAAGGCAGCCATCTTTCCCGGTCTCTGCTTTGATGAAATACTTCATAAAGTTGTAGACCACTGGCAGCTTTCACATTGTCAATCTGTGATAGATAAGATTCAACATCTTTCAAGTGAGTGGTTGGCGCGTGCTCTTCTGTGGTTTTGCACCCTCTATCATATCAGACATCTATCATTAGGGGGTTTCACGGTCTCCGGGCAAGTGGGGATTTCCGCTAAAATCCCGTTTTTTCCTCTTTCTTGGCTCATAACTTTATTAGTTCTTAGCCTGGCATATTAAAACCAACATGAAATGAGAGGTCTATATGTGCTTTTTGTTTCCATGTTAGTTTCAATGGGGGGAGAAATGCGTAACATTATAGATTTTTGAGTTAAAACTACAAGGGTCGTTATGCGTTTTGCCACAACGTGTGGCACGCAAATTGTGACAAATTTAGAGTGCAGCGCGTTTCGGGCGGTTTATTCGAGCTGAATTTTCAATCGCTAACCGTTGTAGTTGACCGTTGAAATAACGTGATTCTGTAGTAAAATTGGACGCTGAAGAGTTTGCAATCCACCCGGAGTTTGTACGACGCTTGTATAAAAAGTTATGGTAAAATATATATTTTATCTTCTAAATTCTTTTTTATTAACGATGGAAAACGCTCCCGGGGCAAGTTATATTGATAGATATATCATTTAGCTCTCTAGAAATGTCATTTTTGTTAAAAATGATTAAAGTTTTGTCGAGGAAAATCAAACTTCACTACACTACCCTAGTTCACTTCGTAAGGTAAAAAAATAATTCACCCGCAGAGCCAGTTGTCAGGGGCGAGTATCAAAAGTCAAAAGTTCAAGATATGTGTGAAAAAAGTAGCAAGCACAAAACCTCATTTTTACATATTTTATTATCACGAAAACACATGCACTTGGTTATGCTTTTCTTTTTTTGAAGAGTATAGATAACAATTTTCTCCCCTCTTGGGAATCAACACTAGATCTCCTGCTTATGAAAGCGAAGCTCTTAACCGCTACACCACAGACGCTGGTTCTCTTCCTCTGTATCCATCTGTTCTTTGGTTGTATGCTCTTTCATTGGATGTGCATCACTTTTTGCCGATGTAAAGAATGTATACTTTTGCTCAAGACTGTTGGCATTTGGGAATTAGATTCAAAATCACTTAAGTCAGGCGCGAATAATTTAAATACATCGGGGGATGACAAACGTCTTCAACACATCCATAATTCAGGTTAAGGGCTAAAGGTGATGAAAAATTGAAGAGATATCAGTCAGGGAATGGCAATTCGTACGAGCTTTTCATGATTTTCAGTTTTCAGAGTTCGTGTTTTCCGTGCCCAACTGCATTCATTTTTTCGGGGTCAAATATGATTTTTTACAAATATAATGGATTTATTGTTGCTTTTTTTACAGTTCGTTAGATGCGCCTAGTCGTGCTGATTAAGAAAATATATACTTTTGTACACTTTTGACTTAAAACACTAATGGTATGTCGCTTTTAAGTCAAAATCAGTTGCGCATTTCGTCAATGGCGGCCATATTGGCGGCCATATTTGGTCACATGACTTTGCACATTACGTAATACATTGTTTATCATGTAGGCAATTGCATAACCTTTCTGGAAATGTATGATTATCATATGTTTTACGGGCAACTTTTTCTTTGAACTAAGGAAAACTGTTGCTAAGTTGTCTTCCTCATGCCTCATTTCACACATTTTGGTGCCATCCTCTTGTCTATATACGTAAGTAATTAATTATCCCCGAAAATGCCCAAATTCACAACAAAAAACTTGCATAACTTTTGAACCGTTTTTCCAATCTTCATGCAGTTTTTTTTTTTTTTTTTCTCAGCTCCTTCAGCTCTATCTAGTGACATATATTTTGGTCAAATGAATTGTTTTTAAAATTTTTCGTGAAACCCCCTACTATCATCCTTATCTGTCCTCCTTGTTTTCTTCGTATGTTACCCTCTAGTAACACCTCTATTCTTGGCCACTTATATGACGTATTTGTATTGCAAGTGACGTAAAACCGTTACTAAAGCTAAACTATTTTTTCTCCTCCTTTTCTTTTCATGTTACTATAAAGTAACACCTCTAATCTTTGGCCCTTATATGATCAATTTGTATCACGAGTGCTGTAAAATTCTTACTCAAGACTCAAAGATTGAAAAAACACCTTTCATGTCCTAGCTCAGTGCGCTTTATCTTATCAAACATCTATCGTCCTCATGTATCCTCCTTTTGTTTGTATGCTACTCTGAAGTAACACCTCTAATCTTTGGCACTTATTTATATGACTAATTTATGTTACGAGTACCATAAAACTCTTACTGAGAACTCAAAATTTCAAAAAACATCTTTCATGTCCTAACTCGGTGTGCTTTTCTCTCCTCACCCCACCCCCCACACTCACCCCTCCCCGTGTCCATGATCAGCTGGAAAAGCTGGACGAGCAGCTGAAGGAGGAGATGGCCAACAAGGAAGGGATCGACGAGGAACTACATCTGTTAGAACAGTCAGAGCCAACCAACCCACGCTACAAGTCCGAGGTTCGAGCACTGAACAACCGGGCCGTCAAGTCTGTGGAGAAGCAGGATGCCATGAGGCTGCTGATGTTACAGTACTGCTCGGGTCTACAGAACTGTTTGGCTTCTCTGGAGCAGGAGGAAGGAGAGGAAGTGGTGGTGGGAGAGGGGGTGGATGGTGTTGTCAGACGAGGAGGGGAGCAAGAGGAAGGTTTTAGTGTGGTCAGAGGGAGAGATATGGAAGAGAGTTTGGATGTAATCAAAGGAGGAGGAGTGAGGGACAAGGAAGGGGAGGGTAAGATGGACGTGGTTTTGAGAGAGTCTCGGGCTTCAGCTGTGGGTGGATTTGTTCGGCGAGCGAGTTCGTCTGTGAAAGAGAAGATGTCTTCTCTGAAGAAAGATTTTGTTCGTAAGGGGCTTAAGGGTTTGGAGGAGAGAGGGGAATCCCCTCCCAGGTCCTCTCCTCTCTCTATCAACAACAGCCGTGGTAGAGTGGGAGGGAGCTTTGTGGAAGAAGGAGGAGGTTTGTGGAAGACGAAGCAAAGAGGGATTGGGGATGGGCAGTCAGGGGAAGAAGGAGGGAGTGAGAAAGGGGAAGATCTCAGAAGGAATCTACGCAGTAGGAGTGAGGGTGCTGTTCACGGCGTTGCGCGCTCTGTTGATGCGGTGACGATGAATGATGCGGAAAAGACCTCATATCTCCACAGTCTGTTGAGGGGTGGGGACGTCCCTATTCTGGACGTGGCTCGGCACGGTGACTACCTGATGCCTGCAGCGCCAGCTGTCAGTGGAGACAACAACACACACGTTCGGCGAAAATCCGACATCCAGATCAGAGTGGATGATGTTGACAAAGAGACAAGTGTTCCTGTGGGAGACAATGAAGTTGCAGATAGTAATGAGAGCAACAATGATCCTCGCAGGCTTACTCGCGGCGACTCCCGAATGTCAAGGTCATGCTCTGATTCGGGCCTGGAGATGGGCAAGATGATGACCTTGAGCCCGGAGGACATCTTGCGTTACCATAGCAACTCGTTGCCCAAAGTTCTGGGCGGATTTGATGAGTCGGATTCTGAGTCAGACTTTCTGGTCATTGATTCAAGTGATGAGCCCGTGGTCACTGATAGCTCAGAGGAGGAGGATGGGGAGGCGGAGGGAAACGGTTTGGGGGTGGAAATACGCACTAAGACTGGTGGGTGTGGTCAGAGAGATGGTGATGGTGATGACCGAGGGGATCGGAACGATGAGGGGAAGGGGCAGCATCGCAACCACTTACAACGGCTGCAGTCGTTTCAGGTGTGATTACAGCTTCAGCTGCTGTGAAATGACATTGACAGCTGCAGTTGTGCGATGAAAACAGCATCAGTTGTTTGTGATGATGACAGCTGCAGCTGTGTGATGAGGACAGCTGCAGTTCTTTCTAGTGTAATAGGGGAAAGGGGGGAGGGGCAGTATCGCAACCACTTACAACAGTGGCAGGCTGCAGTCGTTTTAGTTGTGAAATCATCAGCTGTATTGCTGTAGTTGTCAAAAACGGCTGCAGCCATTTCAAGTGTGATGATAGCTGTACTGCTAAAAGTCCCTCTGAGCCTTTCCTTTAGAGATGTCTGTGATGATCACAACAGCAGCTGTTTTTTTCTAGTTCGAGGATTACAACACCTGTAGGGATCATTACAACAGGTGCTGTTGCTGTTGTTTCTAGTTGGTTGACTACAACAGCTGCTGTTGTTTCTAGTCGAATGACTGCAACAGCTGTAGCTGTTTCTTGTTGGATGATTACAACATGTGTACTGCCTATTTTTATTCCCAACAATTTCGAGATAAAGAGGATTTTAGTCTGTGCAACCATTGAAAAATGTTCTTCGGAAATTTGAAATCTAATTTGCTCATTAACTAGTCACAGTTTCACTTTGATTTTTTTTAAGACTAGAAGGATAACTGATCAGGCTTTCGACTTAGCAAATTAAAAAATTTGTTTTGTCAGCTTACGGCAATGTAGGGATCATTACAGCAGATCAATGGGATCTCTACAGCAGATCAATGGGATCATTACAGCAGATGAAACTTGTTTCTAGTGGGATGATTTCAACAGCTGTATCTGTTTCTAGTGGGATGATTCCAACAGCTGTAACTGTTTCTAGTTGAATGATTACAAGAGCTGCAGTGGTTTCAACAGTTGTGATTTCTCGGAGTTTTACCTATATGAAGACATTACATCATGGATATTCTTAAATGACCTAAAAGTGTTGATAGGGGCATTAAAACCCTATACCATTTCACCATCACCATCATTGGGATAAACTTCTCACATAGATTATGAATTCTTAACTTGGTTAGAGTGTGTTACTGGTAGGTGTGTATTCATTGTGACTTAAGGTTTAATGTTGGTGCATTTTGGTCACAAGGGGACCAACTCATAGCTGGACTGTTGTGAACGGCACTGGTTCAAATCCCCAAATGGATATTCTTGAACTTGTATTGTGGAGAAAATTTTTGAAGTCCTCCACTCATTTGTTGTAGCAGAGATTGACGTTAAAGTCAGAGTTTCCCCTTCTATGTAACTAAACAGTGTTGAAAGCAGAGTTGAACCTATCCAAAAGCAGGTGGAGGGTTCCATTGCAATACACACTACAGGCCAAATCTGGGCATTTCTGGAAAACCCTGTACATTCCATAATCTTATGATATGTACTGCTGTGAGAATTTTTATTTTCCCTCAAAAACACCGTAGCCCTTGATATTTAGTATGATAAAAGTGCTTTTCTTTCATACTTTTTGTTTTTTGTGGTACTGTCCGTTCTGTGACAGCTAGGCTCTTTTTAGTCTGAGTGATTTCCTATTCGGGAAGTTTCTTATCCAGTATCTCTGCATCTGCTGTCTGCTGGTTGTGTTTTATCTTACTCGGCCTAGGTTTTCACTAGCAGGTAACGCTTTAGAAAGCTGCCTCCTAGATTATCTATTTTGTGTCAAAGTGAGCGTAAAACTTTTATCATGAGTTAGATAAATGATTCATTAGTACAGCATTACCGTCTACTAATTGTGACTTTATGTTGGTATAGTTGTCAGGAAAGGGACCAACTCCACCGTATTTTACGCAAGTGAGAACTGCTTGAAAAATTGTTGGTACAATGCACAAACAGGACATTTTATTTATGGTGTCGTTTCTTCACTATGACGTAAATATTGTTTGTTTTCTTGAAGATGAAGCAAACCATGTTAATGGGGGTTTTTTTGTTCCAGCTTTGATGAATTTGATGTAGCCTGTTTAAGTTCTGTTGCAAATTATTGGCATGTGTGGTGTAGCGAGTAGGCTCTTGGTAAATGCATGTGAAAGAGGTGAGTTCTTTTGCAGTGTGAGGAGAATTTCTATCGGTATCACTGCTTTCCTGCTGAGAGATTGTATCCTTATCAGCCTGGGCTGGCATTGACATGGCATTGACAGGTGGAGTCAAAGCAACCAGCCTCTTAAATGATCTGAATTAAGTCGATGGGGATGTAAAACATGTACAATCACAAAATTACTGTTACCGGTACAAATTGTCATTTTTTTCTTGTCCAGGTTTTTTGTGAATACTACTCTAGTGTCCTCCTCACACCGGCATGTGTTATACCTTTGTAATCACAGGTGTTTCGAGGGTGCCGCTGATAAATTCCTCCTTCTTTTTTTTCACTTCCATCCCTGTCATTTGTGTCTGTCTGTTGGTCTTACTTCCTCCATGTAGATAACCACCATCGTTGTGTCATCATGTATCTCTACGCAAATTCCAACTGACAGCGCTACTGTAATGATGTACGTATGTACTCTCACACTGTGTGTTATGTCATTTTGTTGTTGAAGACTACACGAGACAAAAACTGGTGATGTTCAAACCGTGTTCCTTTTCTTCAAATCTCCACTGTCACACACAGTAATGACATAAAAAGATTAAAATATATATGTCTAAAATAAACAACTAATGAAAATTCCGACAGCAGAATGCAGAAACGTGAAAAAATTTTTACCCACGTGAAGATTCGTGAAGTCTCTGGATCGAAATTCCTGTTGATGTGAAAAAATTACATCCCCAGTTTTACCCCGTCAGCAGTCATCAGCTGTCAACTTGCTACCATAATGATTTGTTCTCACTGTGTCTGTCATGTTATTGTGTAGTGGTCATTGACCTGCCATAGTCGTGTTCCCTTATGCCGCATGGGTTGGGGTTTTTTTACATGGAAATTTGTATACATGTACCTACTGTTTCTTTTAACGTGATATTATTCCTTTGTATTTATGAAGGACTGCCATGGAGTGTTTGGTTTGAGGTTATTCTTACCCTCAGTCCCTGATTTCATCTTTGGCAATTATGTAGCAGGTTGACTTAATGATACCGCCAACACTTTCCTGTCTCCGCCGAGTTCTGTGTGGTTGTAACTACTCCAAGCACTGGGAGACAAGTACCGCTCCCACCCGTGGAATAAATTTTGTTAGTGAAGGCTTAAAACATGTGCGTGTGTACAGAAATGCTGTGTGGTTTCCATTACATGTACTCATATATTATACTCGTTCCCATAATAGAAATGTAATGACTCTCAAAGTGTGGCTGGCTTGCCCAGCCTGTTTTTCTCTTTTAATAATCTCATTGAAGGTATGTTGTTCTGCATGATAGACTACAGCAGTTGTTTGGAGGATGCCATTGGTAGATTCTACTTCTATTTCTTCCCTCTGTTGTTTCAGTGTTACTCTTCCCCTGCTCTAAATGAGCATTATTATATCAATGTGCTTTTCTTCTTCTTTTTTCTATTCAAACAATGCCATGTTTTTCCTTTGAGACTTGTATTAAAAATTGAAGCCAATGTTGTCTAAGGCAGACCACAGATAGAGGTAGCTCAGTCCAATCTTCCACTATGGTTTACCCATGCAGCCTTGGGGCTGCAGTAGGCAGCTCATTCAGTTTTGTCTCTCTTTGGTTGTATTATTATCTTAAACATCTCTACAGGTACTTCTTTTTCTTTCCCTCTGTTGTCTCTGTCTGTATGTCTTGCTTTTTTACCTGTATCAGATGACCACCATAATGCCAATTACCTTCTTTTTACTTTAATAAATAAATTAATAAATGTGTGTGTGTTTGGAGAAAGGTCCCAGTTGTAATAAAAATTTTGGATATTGAAATAAGGGCATATTTTGGTACCAAATTCAATGCTGAACAGGCTAATTTTTAACTTTAAAAAAAATATCTTGATTAATTTTAAAGAAATGCCACATTTTTTTGTAACTTAGGATGTAAAAGCAAAGTTTGGAGAATAACCCAAATTTTTAGCCCACCAATTCCTAGCCCATTTTAACCTTTGATGAAGTGCGACATGGTGCATAAATAACTTTTAAAAAATATTAAGCCTTAGAATAAATATTATAAAATCCGTTCAATATGTTATTAAGAAATGGTTAAACTTTTGTTTTCTGATGGAACTAAATTTTTTATCCGGTACAAATATTTTTGCCTTTTTAACATATTTGCTCAAAAATAGCTTTGTCGACAACTGGCACACTCACAAATAATCTTAAAATGGACAGGCCATTACATGTCACTTATCATTGTACATGGCTGATGCTACCTGCCTCATAGATTATCTATATTGTGTGAAGGGGAAGGCAAAAAATATTGTACGATTTTTCAAAGTATCAAATGTCATGCTAGTAGTAGGTCATGTTACAATGGTTGTTCAAGACTGGATAAGGTCATATTAGTAGGTCACCGTCATTTTACAGTGGTCTTTGATTAAAGTCATGTCAAAGTAATTTGTAGCTGAGATGGTCACACAGCCACTGATAGGTCCTACTTCTTTTTTACCCCTCTGTTGTTCCTGTCTGTCTGTCTTACTTTTTATGTGCTGTGATGTGTCAATGTATATCTCTATACTCAAACAAACAAGTGATTCATGACACGTGCTCTGTCAAGTTCATACTTTTATGTGTCATACACAAGAGTCTGCCATCAGAGTATACAAAGTCTAATCCTCTGAATATATTTTTTTCCCGTCTTTCATTCTCAATTGTTAAGTTAAAAATCATGTGTGTGTAAACTGTTGGAAGATTACTACTACTTTAATATATACTTACTTCCACAAAGCCATGTGGTGAATTATCAACTGGAAATGAAAATGAACTATATTTTTGGGAATTTTTAACTTGTATGAATTTTGTGTGTTTATGACTTATATATAAGATATTTTCCTTTGTCTGTAAAATCACTGAATTTTTTTAAACTTGCTTGTAATTGTATACTGTTTAATCAGTGCTTTCATCTACTGCGCATTGTGATGCTTTATTCGGCGTTACTGCGGGTGCTTTTTTAAACTGGAATGTGTGAATTGCTCACCCAGTGAATGACCTACTCTGGGTCGATGGGGGTGTATAAAATAGTCGATGAACAATCATTGAGCGTATCAGGAGAGGAAATTCTTGAAATGAAAAAAAACTGTAATATATATCATAATAGGTGTGGTTGTGTACTAGTTCTGCTTGATGGCTTTGTTTAGAAAGTTTCATTTTTTGCAGTGGCATCTGTGGTGTGGTCTGTTGGTTGAGCTCTTAGTTATCACTGGCAGAAGACTTGAGTTCGGTTCCCAGTTGGGGAAGTTTTTAATCAAGTATCTCCGTCTGTCTGCTGGGATGTTGTATCCACTCAGCAGAGCAGGCTGCCTCCTGAATGATCTTAATTATGCTGATGGAGGCGTAAAGCATACGCAAGTTATTTACTACTAAGAAGTATATTATGCTACTGTAATGTGCTCTATGCTCAGGTAAATGTAGTTTTCTGGCTTCAACTTTTCACCTAAACCTCATCTCCTCCCAACCCCCCTTGTTTATCTGCTATGAAGTATTCTGTGCTCAGGTAAATGTAGCTTTCTGGCTTATGCTTTCCCCCATCGCTATGTTTTTCCTCGAAAATGGCTGTTGTATTTTTGCAGTTCACATTCCTGTTTCGCATATAACAGACTCTCACTTAATCTGTGCCTTTTTTGCCAATCACAATCCTTGAACATGTGGAACAATCACACAACCACCACCCTACCCCACCCTCCACTCACTCCATGCCTTCTCCCTCCCTCAGCAGCTTTCCATCTGTCACATGCCATTGTCTTATGGGAGGGGGTGGGGGGGGAGAATGAAGAAATTTATAAAAAAAAAATCTCTTTCTCCTTTTATTACTTTTAATGTGTGAGGGCAGGGGGGGTGGGGGGGGGATTTTTTTCCTCTGCCCTCTCTCATCTTACCCTCCTCATCCTCCTACAGCATCACTAAGCCCCATCTTCCCCCCCGCTGCACCCTCCTACAGCGGTTCTCCCTCTCCGACAGGCCTATCCCTTTCAACCCTCAGTAATATTCAAAGCTCCCCTCCCCCCGCGCGGTCTCCATTTTCAACCTATAATCCTCCCCCCCCCGCTCTTCTCCAATCCTTTTCATACACGGGGGGGGGGGGGGGTTCTTTTTTATTTTACAAATAAAATAAAATCCATTGTTTTTTTTTTTTTGGGGGGGTTAAAAAAAATTCTCCGGGGGGGGGGGGGGGGGGGGGGGGGAGTTGAGGGTCAGAAGTTTGCTGTTATGTTTTGCTTAGTATTCTAAGAGAGAGAGGTTTGTTTTTTTCCTCTTATGAGGCTGTACTGTATTTTTCTTTCTTACAGTGTGACAATGTTCACAACTGTAGTCTCGCTTGGAGTAAGGAAGTCTGAGTGTGATGAATGGAGACTTTTGTGAAGGCGTGTAAAGCTGCTTCTGGCTTAAGATGAGAACTTCAGTGATGCTTACTGGTTTGCAGCAAAGGGGAGAGGACATGCGGGTGGTTGAAGGGTGCCACTGGAAGGTCCTACTTTTTTTCTTTCCCTCTGTCTGTCTGTCTGTCTTTCCTTTTTTTTACCCTGCCGGAAGACCATTATTGTGACGATGTGCTTCTTTTTATTAAAAAACGAAATGATCTTTTGATATTTGCCATGACCTCTACTCTAAACATGGATGCTCCTCTTCCTTCCCTCTCACGTCTACAATTTTTCCTTCTCTCACTCAGTATTTTATGATGATCTTAAAATTGTTGGGTTGTTTTTTTTCCCTGGTGTTGGTGTTGTTAGTATTATTTCCCTCCTATCAGCATGTTCAATATTTCCGTTTAAAGTCCAGTCTTCTTTATCCTTTCATTCTGTGCAAGAGAGACAGATGTTTGCCAATGCCAAATATATGAGTGTGTGTGTATGTATGGGTACATACATATGGTGTGTTTGTGTGTGTGTTTATTCCCTTGTTGAGTATGCTCTTGTGCTACATCAGTTGAGGGACTTGTTATGAGTCACAATAGCACAAAAATGTTTATTTACAAATGCCCAGAAAAAGGCAGAACAACTTATCAGCGATTAAGTCTACAACCTCAAATGTATGAAGACCCTTAAATATTA